AGCTAAAGGTCTCTTTGTCCATCCTAAAACACTGTTACCTAATGATCACACTATGGATTAACATTCAAGCACCAGTGAATGGCTATTAAGGAAAGTAAAGATAGCAAGGTAATTTGCCTCTGGCTGTATAAAATTCTGGCTCTCCACAGCTACTGAAGTTGTTCTGATCAGTTAATCAGCCTTATAGAGCATGTAGCACACAAGTGCTGCTTTTTTCCCTGGCAACTTTAGTTCACACTGGTATGGAAACCAAATGGCTCCCTGAATAGGTCTAAACTCTGGTCACTTCCCAGACTTATGCCCTTAGTCTTCTCATCCTTAGTGGTGGCTGGTGAACATCTGCTGATGGACCCATCTGAGTACATATTATAAAATATTTGCTCAATTCCTTTACTTCAGTTGAGAGAGCAATTTGTTCAAAAAAGCAACCATCATGCCAATGGAAATGATATCTGAAAACTCTTCAACAAAATGACAACACTGTCAAACAGGCAAGCTCAGCTGTTTCTCACTTGTATTGTTTTTGATGTTTCTTAGTTTTAGTTTTAAAACTGAAGCATATTGGTTGCAGATTTGACTCAGTTGTAGAGCACATGCTTAGCATACGTGAGGCTCTGAGTTCAGAACCCAGCAAACAAAAATACATAAAACCTAAGGATTGGTGATTGAAGGAAGAGATGACTCTTGCAGAGGATCCAGGTTCAGTTCCTAACACACAAACCAGGCAGCTTGAATCCACTGTAACTCCAGTGGTAACTTTTGTGGTACACAAAAACTCATGTAGGCATGTACACAACAATGTCAGTTTTATTAATACTCACTTGGTGTGCATTCATTTGTTCTCAAGTAAGGTTAGAAATTTGGGGAATTTTTAGTTGCAGATGTTAGGAATTTTTCCTAACATGAGCTCTCTGTCGACACAAAATCCCAATCAAGCCAAATCAAAGCAAGCCAAATTAAAAAATATCCAGGTTTAATGGGATTCCTGTGCTCTAGGGTAGCCCCGAGGGGTAACTGGGAGGCTGCAAATGTGACCAACAGGAGGAAGAAGGGACCACATGTTTCTCTTTTGGGAGTTCACTTAAGTACCCTGACCCCCCCCCCCAGGGAGGGGTCAGGACCTGGCATGCTGGGATTTGAAATCCAGACTAATACAACTCTCAGACCTGGGGGCTAGGATAGATGTGAGGGGCTGAGGTCTACCCTCCCAACTTAACATTCCAGACTCTTTGGATATAGGGATAACAGGAAATTGAAGTGATAATTATAGGCTCTCTAGGGAAAAGGGGCATTGACAAAAGTCTGGCTACTTTCTGCCGGTATAGGGCAACGTGGAGAAGGGGAGACCTAGGTGTTGGTGGGTCCACGCTCAGCAAGAGGTGTGGCTGGAAAGGCATCCCATGTACTGTCATCCCAGAGATGTTCCCTGGGGGAGATGAGAAGGCAGATGTCTAGGAAAAACATATTGTTATTACCAAAGATGAGTGTGCCAGAATGAGGAAAGGTAGGCCATTCATTGTGGCATCCTGGAAAACCGGAGGGTGGAAGGTCCTGTCTGCTGGACAGACCAAGTGTCCTGAGTAGGTGCCCGCTTGAGCCTGGAGAGATGGTACCAGCATGGGTGTCCCAAGAGCTTGGCAGCTGAGGGGTTGGTGAGGATTACCATGTGAGGTCCTGTCCATCGAGGTTTGAGAGACCTAGGAGTTAACTGTTTGAGGAGTACTCTGTCCCCTAGGGAGAGCGGGGCAGGTTTAGGGGCATTAGGGTCCTCTGGTGTGGTGGCAGGGAGACAACTGTCAGTGTGTGAACAGAGAAGGAACCTTAAAAGGGAGAGGTAGGGTAGGTACCCCCAGTGGAGGAGTTTGGAAGGTGATGGTTAAGGAGAAAGGGCCTGCCATAAAGCAGCTCAAAAGGGCTCAGGCCCATAGGGGAATGTGGGGTGGCCCTGAGGTGAGTACAGGCAATGGGGAGAAGGGCCAAGATAACCTGAGTTCAATGGAGAGCTTGGCTAGCTGTTGTTTGGTGAGTCCATTGGCCCTCTCCACCTTTCCGAGGATTGTGGATGGTAGGAGGTGTGGAATTTCCAGGAGATATTGAGAGCTTCTGACACAAGCTACATGACCCTGGAAGTGAAGACTGGTCCATTGTCCATCTGGGTGGTTCTTGGGACAACAAACTGAGGAATGATGTGGTCCAGGAGTACCTGAGCCACCACATCCACTGTTTCCCTGGAGACCGGAACCGCTTCTGTCCATCCTGTGCAAGTGTCCACAAGTGTTAAGAAATAACGAAGTTTTTATTTTGGTTCTTTTTTTTTTTATGAGCAGGCATATGAGTGAAATCAACCTGCCAATCTTTGCCCAGTTGGTGTCCGTGAAGCTGGTGTAGAGACTGATGTATGTGGAGAGCCCCTTGTGGGTGGCCTGGGCACACGTCTGGCAGGAGGAGTGAACCTGTAAAATAGAATCTCAGAGATGGGTGGGGTAAAAAAGGGGCTCCAAGAAGCAGAACAAAGCTTTGTGGAAGTGGCTAAGGATTTCTCTTCCCAGTAAAGGTGCTGGGTGAGCTGTTATCACTAAGAATTTGAGAAAAATTGTCCTGCGAGAATGCAGGGCAGTGGCAGAGTTTTAAGTGGGGAGGAACAGGTCTTGTCTACCCCCAGAACTGAAATTGGTGAGGGGAACATAAGGCCTGAGTGAGATTAAAAGTAATGGACTTACCTGCTACCTGCCGTTTTACCCTAGGCTTGGATAGGGTTACAGGATAAACCAAGTCTGGGCAGCATCAATCCTCTGCAAGGCTGAGAAGTTCAAAGGCTGGCACAGTTTCACTTGCCGATGTTGGTGAGGCTAGACCTCCGTGGCAAAGCATAGAGGACAAGCCTGCACGGGGGCATTGTGATTTCCAGTGTCCAGGCTGCTGGCAGATAGGGCATATCCTCAGAGGAGGTGTAGTGCAATATCGTGCCACGTGACCATTTAGGCCACACTTGAAATAGCTTGCCTGTGAGGTTGACTTAGGCTGGACTCTATCAAAGTAGAGCCTCGTGGTTGGCTTCCTTTGTCCCCCTTCCTGTGACCTTAGAGCAGCCGCTAAGGCTGTAGATTGTTACAACAACTTTAAAGGTCATTTTTACCAATTCCCGTATAGGGGTTTGGTGCCCCTCCTCAACCTTTCTTAACGCTTTCCGAATATCTGGTGCTGACTGAGAAATAAAATGGGTAAGCAGAAGGATTAGTAGTGAAGGAACCTAGCCCCTTTTCTATCTGAGAGAGATCTGGAAGAGAAAAGGGAACACAGGGAGGATTGGGAAGGTAGGGAGATGAGGCAGGAGGGGGAGGGGAAGGTGGGTAAGGTGGAAGTTGACCTTGAACCAAGGGAGGGGGTAGATGGGGGAAGGAGAGGATCGCAGCACCTTGAAGCCAGCGGCACTGGCTACTAAGGAAGGGGTGAGAGTGCAGGGCCCAAAAACCATGGACATATGTAAGCTCTGTCCATTTGTCTTTATGGCGGCAAAAATTTTCAAGGTCCCAGAGGACGGTTGAAGCCAAATCTTAGTGCATAGGGAAATTAGCCATTTGGGACAGATGGTGTCAGACAGTCTCAATTTAAAAAGATTTTGTAGGAGGCATCCCAAGGGAGACAGTGAATCTGGCTTTAAACTGCAAGTGCCTATTTTAAAGTCTATGCCCAACCAAGTGGCCTAAGCCTATTACAACATGTCCGCTAAAACAGCTGTTAGGCCTAATGGGGCCATGGAAATTGAAAGCTAGGTGTCCCTGGAGCAAACAAAGTCCATCTCAGCCAAGTCCAGTCTTGCTGGTCTGGCCGCTCCTGGGATCAAACTCTTGGCACAAGCTCACGGCTTCAACAAGAGACCAATAATCGATAAAAGAAGTACAAATGGGTCCCCCCAAAACCTTATAGGATAGACAAGAAAAAGGGACTCACCAAGACACAGCGGCTGTAGCCCAGGAACCAGTTTTAGCGTGTTGTGTGGAGTGCAGATTCACTGGACTTTAGACACTTGGCCTAGGGCCACATGAAAAGGGCTGCCCTACCCAGTGGGGCCTCCAGATGTTGGGAATTTTTCCTAACATGAGCTCTCTGTCAACACAAAATCCCAATCAAGCCAAATCAAAGCAAGCCAAATTAAAAAATATCCAGGTTTAATGGGATTCCTGAGCTCTCGGGTGGCCCCCCAAGCAGGAACCGGGAGGCTGCGAACTTGACCCTTGACCGCTAGGAAGAAGGAAAAGGTACCATGCGTTTCTCTTTTGGGAGTTCACTTAAGTACCCCGTGGGAGTGGTCCTGACCTCCCCAGGGAGGGGTCAGGACCTGGTATGCTGGGATTTGGAGTCCAGACCAATACAACTCTCAGGCCTGGAGTCTAGGATAGATGCGAGGGACTGGGTTCTATGTTCCCAATTTAACAGCGGAGATTATAATAAGATTGAAAAATGTTATTATTTCATTCTACTCCATTGGAGGAGAGATAATGGGCATTTAATTTTGGCCTTGGTCAATCCCAGGACTTGAGTGATCTAGCAATTGAAGTTTAACTCTTAATTCCTCTAATGATGGCCTAGATAGCAGAGATAGACAGGCCAAGGTCTTCTCAGCCATTCTCTGGGGCTACCTAGGTCCCTTGTTTCCCCTACCCTCCACATGCACTCCCTAGGTAATGGTTTTCTGCTTTGATTTCTGACTCAACCCATTTTTTGACCTGAAAGTTGTTTCAAATTAAATAAGTCTGAGACCGTGGTGAACTAGTGCAGACATTAACCAGCAGTCTCTTGCCACTGTCACTTTTCAGACTGAAAGTCTAGAAATTATGTTTGACATTTATATTGCTTGATGTCCATTTCCGGGATATCTCTCTCTCTCTCTCTCTCTCTCTCTCTCTCTCTCTCCCTCTGTGTGTGTGTGTGTGTGTGTGTGTGTGTGTGTGTGTGTTTCTATCAACAAACTAACCATTTCTAATTATACTTTGTTTCAGAGTCACACTGAAGATATCCTGGTGCCCCCACATTGTTGGCATTTTGAGAATTATCTTATCATTGCCTCTAAGCAAGTCCCTTACAACAAAACAATTTAATGGCTCTATTGTCAACATTATCAGTCATTTCCTTTTTCCTTGGCTCAGTAGTTCACTGATTTGAAGTGCAAGCAGGAAGATTAAGAAAGCTTTACCTGGGCTATCAGATAAGCCTCAGATGTTAGTGCCATTCATAGTATGGTTCTCAATGGAGTAGTTAAGTGAAGCCTCCACCAGAACTCCTGTCCATTGAAATGGAGACTACCACACTTGCCAACCCATTTGCTCTGGAAGTGGTCCTGGAGGAAGGCTGTGACAATAAGCCGGGAAGTAGTAACATAGCCCTGAGGATGGAACTTGCTGAATACCCGGAAATCTCTGCTCTCAGCCCAAGTGTTAAGTGCCAGCCCTCACTTTGAGCATCTGTTAAATAGCTTTAGGTGGCTGGTCTCCATGGTTCCTCACCTGGCATGAGTAGGTGAAGAGGAACAGGAAAAGAACCCATACTCTGCAGGCAAGACCAGAAAATTTGAAAGGAAAAAAGGCACGTCAAAACTTAGAAGTGGAACATCTATGGGAGCAGTGAGATCTACTTGGCAGGATTGTGGCTCCTTACCTGACCTGAAAGAGACCGAAGACCACAGAGAAAGATGGAGCACCAAATTCAGTTGGTTGAGCCTTCTGTCCTAAAACTTTAAAAACAGCAGGAAGTTGATTCTTACCCCTCCCCCTCCTAGCTTCAAAGGTTGGAAATAGTATGGTTAAAACACTAAGCCTACCTTCCTGAGTTATTCTGCTACAGCAGGAGAACTTCAGCAGGGCCAAAAGCCTGCGATCCAGGCCACACAACTGCAGCATACCCAGAAGGCAGTTTCTTTTTGATGGCACTGAGGTTATAAGTAGGCCAGCTCATTGGAATTGGATTGATTTTAAAAGAAAAAAATTTATTTTAGAAAGTGAAAACTAATTTGTGATTTTATTGAATATTAAAGAATGACCTCATATGTCAATGCCATGTATTAAAGCCAACCCTTTTAACATGTGTTTCTCAAAACAATAACATGTAGAAACCTCTTTGATTTTTTTACACTAGTTGCCCTGTCTTTTATTAATGGTTTGTACGCTGTTATCATTCAAGCTAGATTTCTAATAATTTAAACCTATGTACAACCAGAGGGTCTATATTAATTTCAGATAGTATGCCAAATGTTTTCATGCTCCCCAGATTCTAGGTCAAGAAATTTATGAGCTTAGCATTGAATTTTTTATTGTTTCCCATGTGCTGGCTAGAAAACAGGAGAAAGTGAGCTGCTGGGGTCAGTGTAGCTTGTTGATCAGTAGAGTGTTTAATTTAGAAGTATACGCCAAATTTCATCTTTCATTGCTCTGTATGAACATAGCCCCATTATATTCTTACATTGGAGTGTAGGAGTTGGAGAGATGGTCCAGTGGTTAAGAGCACTAGCTCTTCTTTTAGAGAGCCCAGGTTTATTTCCAGAACCCATATGGCAGTTCACAACTGTCCATAATTCCAGCCCCAGCAGATCTGACATGTCTTCTGACTTACATATGTAATACTTGTTATAAACATAGTGTACATGTAAGCAAAATACCTAACAAATAAAATTAAAATTAAACTAATTGGAGTATGGAGCTAATTAAATTCTTAATATCTATATCTAAGATATATTAAGTGTAATAGATTTTGGGGAACATCACACCAAGCAACTTTTCAGGTAGATTTTCAAAATGTTAAAGGTGTACTTTCTATGCTAACTAAAAACATTTTTTTAAAAAACAGTAAGTTGTATGTGGTAGCACATGCCTGTAATCCCAGTATTTGAGAAGAAGGAGAAGTTAGAGTTCCAGGTTATCCTTGGCTTCATAGCTAATTTGAGGCTAGTTTGGTGTTATGGTAAAAGTAAAGAGGCACCATTCCCTGAGTGGCTTCAGTGGGCAGCAGATCCCGAGACCACAGCGGGCTACGAAGGTACCCGGTCCCAGACAGGGAGCCGTGGGTCAAGTGAGAGACAGAGACCTATGAGGCACACCATGCAGAGAAAGTGGGTATTCATTTAGTGGGTTATGGAGAGGAAATGAAAAGGGGAAGGGGAGAAGGGAGAAGAGCATAGAGAAAGAGAAACACACACACACACACACAAAGGATGGGGAAGGGGAGAAATGGGAAGGGAGAGAGGCAGAAGCTGCTTTTTTGGTAGAGAGACAGAAAAGGAAAGAACTCAGACTGGAAGCAGAAGGAAGATCTGCTTGCCTCAGCAGATGGGGGAGGGAGTGGGTGGGGTTTGTCTCTTAAAGGGACAGAACAAACCATTACATTCCTATCTCTTTTTTATAATAAAAAAAAGCAGGAGGTTAGGCACAACAGGTTAAAGGAATTGGGGCAGCGGGTTCTCAAGACTGCTTCCTGCTCATCTGTGTGCAGGGCGGGGGGGGGGGCTGAGAAATCTGAGTGCTGGTCACATCCTGGCATACCTGGTCTCTTTGCTCCTGTCTGATGTTTGTGTTATGGAAATGTCTGGTGTCTCTTACACCTGTTTCAGGTATTGGCAGAACAGAGAACATTAAGTTTAGGAAAAAAAAATAAGGTGGATCCTTCAATTTGGCTCCCTGGAACTCACAAGGATTCTTTGGGTTTGTGAAAACATAAGTTTTAGACATATGCATTGGATATTTAGACATATATAGTAGGATATTTATGTCAGAATAACTGTGACAGATATTTTTGAACAATGAAAGATCTTATTAAGACTATAGAAGGCAACATGAGAGAGAAACTTGATTAACTTGTATTTGTCCTCACACCTTTATAACATGCAGGTACACATCTTAATAACTTGTATTTGTGTTTTACTGAAACTTGTTTGGTGAGGCTGTCCTTTTAAACTAACAAAACCTCTCAGCTGTCAAATTGCATCAGAGATCTTTGAGAAGGATGAAATTTTACTTGAATTATTGATTTAAAACAACAGAGAACTTAATTGGTTGGCACCCAGAGCTACTCCTCAGGGTAGATAGAGATCCTCCATGTTTGCTGAGGATCATATTTGCCTTTTGCTGTTTAACACAGGGCCTGCCAGGCTCCAAAAGATCCTGTGGGCTAAGAAATTTATAGGAAGATAAGCTTACCTTGATCTCAGCAGCTAGGCTATCAATTCTAGCAATTTGGTCCACCGTCTGGTGATCTTCAGTTTAGATGAAAGACAGTTTTTCCCAGTGGTCAGTGCTTGGCAATTGAAGCAAATTGCAGATGGACGTTTTTCTGTGCATTTGTCTTCTGACTTCTTTGAAGGAAGTAGAGTGCTGCTGCTAGGAACCAACCTGTCTCTTTTTGTTATGGAAAGTCTTTTAATAATTAAATATTTAAATGCCGTATTCCCCAGATCTCTGAGGAGTTGAGGGCTGTTTACTCGGTATAGATGAGTTATAACTACAGTATAGAATCTGCCTGGAGAGCTGAGCCTGAGCTTGACTGTACAGGTAAAGCAGGGTTGGATTAAGAGACTTATAAGTACGTACCAATTTAAAACATAGGATTTATTGCTTTGTAGTCTGGAATGAGATACAATGAACAGACAATTATAACATCTAACAGTAAACATAGGCATATTTAAATACATATACACAGAGAGAGAGAGAGAGAGAGAGAGAGAGAGAGAGAGAGAGAGAGAGAACAGGAATTGGGCAAAGTGGGTGCTTTTGGTGGGTCCTACCAAAGTCATTCACTGCACAAAACACACATGTAACAGAGTCAGCACCGGGAACCAGGCAGGAAATACCTCAGTAAATATGGCAGGACTTGGTCACCTGACTTGGGTATCAGTTAAGATGGCAGTGAAGTCACCTGACCTCAGTTAAAATGACAGTAAGGTCTCCTAACCTCAGTCAAAATGGCAGCAGTCACATGTTGTATGGAGAAGTTTTTTTTGAACCGCAGGAAATTTAAATATAATAACAAGAGAGACCTAGAGGCATGATCTGCCCTATTGCTGAGCTGCCACACCACAAGCCATGGCAGGGAGCAAAGGCTGGAATTGAAAACAGTTGCCTCTCTGATCCAACTAATCTTGTCGTTTCCATGGGATCAGCGGTAGTGGTGGCAGGGATAGTTTGAGGAAAAGCAGAGTGGGTGGGACACCAGCAGAGCATTTACAGGCGGGTGGCTGATAGTTTGAGGGTTTATACCATAGCTGAAAACATGAAAACGGCGAACAAACACCACAGGGCCTATAGAAGGACATCTCCTCTCTACAGGTATGTCAGGGGGAGTAAAGCCTGACTGGCTCTGGTCTGAGTGACTCGGAAACCAGAGGCTAGAGGCTGCTGTGAGTGGTCTCTCACAGCAAGGACCACTGATAAGTGGTTCAAAAGAAAACCAAAGAAAAAGGAAAATCCGAGGGACTCTGGGCCCCAAGGCAACCACACTACTCAGCATGTTCAGTGCTAGCACAGATGGACTAACCCTGGGTTGTCCGATCATGTTTTTAGCTATGGGAAGCAACCCGAGATGACTGTCAGTGATGGGCTCAACTATAGCAGTGAAGGCTGTGATTGACTGACTGGAAGGGGAAAACTCACCACTGAAGCTGCTGGTGTGTGTAGATGTCAGCATTCAGGCAGAGATGTTGTAAAGAAACCTCGTTCCTGAGCCCAGGGTTCCACATTTCCTCAGCCAGCCCACCCATGGGCAGGAGGAAAGGTGGAGAGAGCCTGGCTGAGTCACAAGGACCAATGTTGTGGTAAAAGTAAAACGCTGCAGGTTCCTGAGTGGTTGGAGTGGGCAGCGGGCCATGAGACCATGGCAGGCCATGAAGGTAGTCCATCCCAGGCAGGGAGCCATATGGCAGGTGAGAGACAGAGACCTATTAGGCACATCATGCAAAGAAAGTGGGTGTTTATTTAGTGGGTTATGGAGGGGAAAGGGAAAGGGGGAAGGGGAGAAGGGAAAAGAGCAGAGAGAGAGGGAGAAAGAGAGAGGGGGAAGGGGAGAAGGGAGCGAGGCAGAAGCTGCCTCTTTGGGAGAGAGATAGAAAAGGAAAGGACTCAGGCTGGAAGCAGAAGGAAGATTTGTTTGCCTCTGTGGATGGGGGAGGAAGTGGGCAGGGCTTGTTTCTTGAAGGGACAGGACAGACCATTACACTTGGTATATATGAGAACCTGTCTCAAAAATAACTAAGTAAAAAGTTATAAAAACATTTGGACATAAAAATGTTTAATAAAAGGATGCAAATATTGTATGGTCCAGGGGTTGAGCTGAGAGTACTTTTCATAAATGATTATTAGGAAATGAGTCTGACTTGGCAACATTTAATACTTGGTTAGTCACTGACAAGACTGTGTTCTTGCCAAACTAATTTCTGGGTCCTTAAAGTAACCCAAGTGACATGCTGAACACACCATACAAAGAAACAGTGATAAGAAATTTTTCTTGACTTTCCTCTTTGAATATTTATAAACTCACAGGAAGTTTCACAAAAACCATACTCAGGTACAGTGTATACTTCACCTATTTCCCCCCAAGGGGGATGTCTTACAAATAGATTAACATCAATACTACGAAATTATTGGTATAATCTAAAACTTAACATTCTACTTTCAAGTTTTGATTACACTTTATATATATATATATATATATATATATATATATATATGTGTGTGTGTGTGTGTGTGTGTGTGTGTGTGTGTGTGTATACATGCACATATGCAGAGATCTGTGTGAATGCATCACTCACAAATTTCTGTAAACACCATTATATCCAAGACAGAATCAAT